CGCTAAAAAAAGATATATGTATTTACTGTTATACAAATATATACAACCATATTTTTTTAGCTATACTCGTACACCTTATATTTGTTTATAAAGAAGCTCATGATTTTTTTTTTGATAATTTATTTATACTAGCTTGACATTCTAATAACATGCGTAAATATTTACGACGCGAAAATATTTGAAATATCAACAACCATATTTAAGCATGGCTATTTTTGCACTGTAATAGTAAATTAACAATTACGTAACTTTCTCATGAGTACTTGTGTATCTTTAGAATAGATTTGACTCAGTTTTATTTTTAAATCATTTAATTAACTCACAATTAATATATGCAATTGGTAGCAATAATATCTATATTTTGATATCAGGAAATATCTTATCGGCTGTCTTCACAATGGGTGATAAGTCTACGAGAAATAACCTTCAAAAGATAAGAAAAAAAAGGCAAAGGATTTTTTCTCTTTAAAGCATGATGGAGACAAAAATCTACTGGATATGCGCTTGTGCCTGATTAATATGTCTTATATGATTTTATATTAACGTTATTTATATGTAGAATTATGCAAAAATACAGCTTTAATTTCAAAAGATGTTCTCAAAACATAGTTATCTTTTTTTATTCAAAACAAAGAGAAAAAACAATTCAAATGCTCCTTTTGTCAAAATTCTTATAAGACATGTTTTATTTTAAATTCTAAAATAAGGATACGTAGCCCATTACTTTTATGAAGGAGACCTTTGTGACACTTAACTGAATTTTACAATTTTTAATAAATTCCGTCAGCGGAAGTTGTGAAACCATTATGGGAAACTTCGATTATATTTTAAAGTAAAAATGTAGTTAATACAACTGTTCGGTGGGCAAGCAAATTATATGAAAGCTTAGCTAGTTAAATGAATTTATGATAGGGTTTATTGTAGCCTGGTAAATTTTAGGTCATTCAAAAACATAAATTTTAAATAAATGGACGTGATTAATTCTAGGTAAAATAAATTTTATATTGTTATTTTCAGTATATATATTTTCATGTTTGACATTTTCTAGCAACAAAACAATAAATACTCAGTTGTAAAGCTACACTAGACATTTGCATTAAAATATTTCGCATATTCATTAAACGGTGAACGGATATTGTAATATTAAACAACCTAAAAACTAATTGTATTGATAAAATAATGTAGGGATAATGTCTAGTTTCAGTTGTTATTTTAATTGCACGAAGTTATCATAGAATAAAAGTTTTTGTTTTGTGTAAATATTTCATTTCTTTAATTTATTACAAAAAACTACATAAATATTTGCACTCACTACTCCAAGACGCTAGCGGTGATTTTTTTAAAATTAATTTTCACCAATAAATAAATTAGTCCAACTTTGGGTGGCTTAAGAAAACAGTGATAAGTACATAGGAGAATCGTTTTACATACAGGTTGTTCCAGTTAAAACGTCCCACCTGGAAAATATCAGAATTAAAAAAAAACAAATAAAAACTGAGACACGTCGATTTTCTTTTCGAGGGAAACACGTGATGACCTAAGTTTTCATGTCTTGGAAGCTACCCCTTAGGCAAGGACGTAAAGTACCTATAAATTTTAAATGACATCATATGTTGAGTGACACTTCATTTTAAAGCTTTTTCAATTCGGCTCACAACCACGAGATACAACTTTTTAAATTTTGGTGAAACAATGTTATTTTAATGTTCAAACTAGTTTCCCTCCACTTCCATATAATAAAATCTTTACTCCATTTCTGAACGAACATTTCGAAGCATTTCGGGCATTATCTGAAGACATTCTCCAACAATTCGCCGACGAAGCTCAAGTGAGTTCGGTCGTGTTGCATAAATTTTCGACTTTAAGTGTTCACATAGAAAAAAGTCTAAGGGAGTTAGATCTGGCCATCTGGGAGGCCACTCAATTGAACCTGTCCGTCCTATCCAGTGATTAAGAAAATCACGCACAGCTACGGCATAATGTGGTGAAGCACCATCCTGCTGAAGCCACACATCTGGCAAAGCGTTGTCATTTTCCAATATTTCCATAATCATTATATTCGTTACTAGTAGATTCAGATAGATGTTTCCATCCAGATTTCCCGGTAGGAAGAAAGGACCTATGAGGAAGTCTCCCAGTATGCCCGCTCAAACATTCAATTTCCTTGGATGGAGCGTACGAGTTCCATGAAAAATGCGTGGATTGTCATCACTCCAGTAGCGGTAATTATGGCGGTTGACTCGACCATCCATTTGGAACGTACATTCAACGGAAAAACAGATTGAGTATAAAAAATTTGGATCCCTTAGAGCACGATCACTTATTTCTTCACAGAACTGTAAGCGGCGATCAAGCCCTTACGTACGACCCGTTCACGTTAATTGCAACCGATCCAGTTTCCCAAAATGTATGCACTAAATCCAGGACGTACCGATGGGAAATGTTAATGTCAGGATGACGATCATTAAAAATCTGTACTGCCTGCCGTGCAGTCATTATTCTTGTAGAACAAACTAATTATTTTCAACTTTTTCAGCAATTGTATAAACCATTTTCACAAATTGGAATTCAATCGACTTTGTGATGATTTTACGGCATATTGTCTCAACAAGACAAGACGAGACAATATTGTCTCGTTAAAAGTAAAACAGGCAAAAAGTTGAACTGATAAGAGTATCAAGGTTTTTTATTGACAAATAAAATGAAAACATTTTTTGTATCTAGAAATTGTTGAAAAATGTCGTCGGATAACACCCGACATGCTTCGAAATGTTCGTTAGGAGCAAAGATATTATTGTTGTGCGGGAGCGGAGGGAAACCAATTTGAACACTTAATAAAATAACGTTGTTTATTCATTCATTATATATTGTCTTATTCTTAAGTGGTGATTTTATTGTCACATTCAAACCAAAATTTAAACAGTCGTATGTCGTCGTAAGCAGAACTGAAACAGCTTTAAAATGAGGTGTCACTCAACAAATAGTGCCATTAAAAGTTTAAAGGTATTTTCGCCCCTGCCAAAGCGGTAGCTTCCAAGACACCAAAACTTACGCAATCATGAAAATAACCTTGAAAAGAAAATGGATGGGTCTCAGGTTTTTTTGTTTTTTCTTTAAATTCCGACATTTTCCAGGTGGGAAGTTTTAATTGGAAAACCCTGTATAATTTAGTCCAAACAGTAATTTAAACATTTTTTGATTTGGTGTGTTAGGTTGATTACCTTAATATCGAAAATATTTAAGGAAAACAACTCCCACCTTTTTCAAAGTACCTAATTTTATGAGGACAGTTACGATTATTACTAAAAAAATACCTCTTTTAAGAGAATCCATATTAGGTTTATTGTTAAATATGTAAACAAGTTAATTGTCCATGAGACTCATTGACTATTTTTTCAGTAGGTGTAAAGTAGGCAGGAATTTATATTATCAAAAAAAGTTAAATACAATGCGTCCCAGAAGCAACGCAAAAAAATCGTATTTTATTTTGTGTTGCGTTTTCACAAATACGCTAAATCACGTCAATTAGTAAATAGGAATTGTCGTTTTGTCACATTGCTTAAACCTTTTTTCCTCTATGTTTCATAAACCTATGACGTCATCAACATTTATTTAAATAGCACTACCTAATTTTTTAAGCATAAAGGGATAGCCCTTTTGAAGGGAAACGCATCGATATAGAGGTTGACCTATATTACTGTGACAGATGCAAAAAAAGCCAACGATTGGAATGGACATGGTTTAAAATAACAACAAAAGTAGGTAGGTATCACAAACTGACGCGAGAACAGTGCCACAGCAAAAATTGGAAATTTTTAGAGGTTTTGGTTGATTGTACATGTTTTTATGTATTGATATATTGGCGTATTTGGCGATAGGACGAACGTCAGTGTGTGGATTTTCAGTGACAGCTAAATATAACATTTTGCCTATCATTTTCCATCACTGTCGTTGGCCTTCCGGATCTAGAGAGATCTTTAACATATCCTGCGTCTTCGAATTTGCGTATATCTGCATACTGTATTGGTTGTTCATGATACTTGTCTGTATCCAACCACAATTAGGATTTCAATTCTTTGATTCTCGCTTAAACGTAACACCATCGTAATGCCAAATTATGGTATTTGTAACTGTCATAATGATATTACATTCGCTAACTGTCATCTTCAAAACAATGCCTAGCCGCTGTGATCGGGTGAACCTATCCAATCTACATAAAAACAAGTAATAATCAACCAAAACACTTTTTTTGCTGTAGCACTCTTCTCGCATCAGTTTGTGATACTTTTGTTGTTATTTCAAACCATGTCCACTCCAATCGTTGGTTTTTTTCGCACCTTTCAAAGTAAAGTAGGCCAAACCCTATATCATCGTATTTCCCTTCAAAAGGGCTTTATGATTAAAAAATTAGGTAATGCTATTTAAAAAAAATGTCGATGACGTCAAAGGTTTATGAAACATAGCGCAAAAAAGGTTCAAGCAACGTGACAAAATGACAATTCCTATTTACTAATTGACGTGTTTTAGCGTTTTTGTGAAAACGCAATACAAAATAAAATATGATTTTTTTTGCGTTACTTCTGGGACGCACTGTATAATAATCTTATCATAATTGGACATTAAGATCTGATTCTGATTACCGAAAAATTGCAATTTCAATTCTGGTTAAAAGATTTTTTCAGATTTTTCAACGATTTTTAGAAAACGTATACACCTTTGCAACTAATTCAATGATTCACGTTAGTCACGAAAAAGTATGTAAGTGATGGAAAAAAAACTTTCCCATAATGTCAGTGATTTATTTATTATTTTCACTTAACTGACAAGCAAGTTTTTACGACAGGGAGCAATAAATTTAACGATAATATTTATTTTCTCTCAATTTCAACTTGAAAGAATTAAACACATTAACTAAAGAGCTGTCAACTAAGTAAGTTTTCAATATTACTTTACACTTTAAACACATAATAAGTGATGTTAATAGTAAAAGTAAACCCTACCTGGTATTCCTAGACTGGTCGTTGACTTAGAATGAGACGACATCTTAGATAAATTAGTTGTACTTTGACTATGCTGCTTGGACATTTTCTCCAGATCGCCTCCGGTGACGAAGGCAGATTTCGGCCTTCTCGGAAGCGAACAATTTTCACTCAATACAGAAGCCTCGTGGTATCCAGAACTATCCGAACTATTCCTCGAATGACAAATCGTCAGGCCGTTCTCCACTTTCTTGGATTGCAACTCGTTGACCTCATTTGCGGTTTCGGAAATGTTACTTGGGGGTTTCTCTACTGAGACTTTTCGTTTGCTATCATTTTGCTGAGGGGGCTTCGGAGCGGGTCTTCTCTTTCTTTGCGGGGGTTTGGGCCGCTCCTGAGGCTGGTCTTTCTTTGGAGGTGTTATTATTTGGGGTTGGACTGCTGGAGGAGTCACCGACCTGGAGTCGTCGCTGTGGGTAGGAGATATCGAACGAGTGTCGCTCGAGATGGATCCGGAACCCATACTCTGGAACAAGGAAAAGAAAGTCATGAAAATCCTTATTGCAAATTACCGTTTTTAAATGACAAATTACTACCTAATTGAAAATTAAATGAAAATGAAAATGACTGATAATGTTAAACAACGATAAAACAAAACATTTATGCGTCTGCATTGCATTTGCTTGAAATCATATAATGCTGCATTACTTGTATTTTGGCGGGAAATTTGCGTGTGTGTCCTAGATTCAATTGGGTGGGTAAGTGCACGCATTGTATTTATTTATTCTATTGTAACAACTTGTTGGATATTTAGCTCTTCATTTAATTACTTCAAGGTTAATAAAGTCAGACATGAACTAAAATCCGAAGTATTTACACTAAAAGCAGAACTGATGTGAGGAATTAAAAATATAAATCCCTCAGATCCATTTTTTACTATTTGTAGTTCAACCACAAAGAGGTGCACAAAAGGTGGAAGGTATGCCACTTTCTTGCGATTCAGCATTATCAAAATGCACCACACTATTAACTCAAGAATTAGATTTAAATTGCAGATATAAAACTAAGTTTTAGAATAAGCTTATTTTACAAAACCATTATATACAGTCAGTGATGTAAAATGACCGTCATTTAAGCTCGTGACGGTCATAGCCGTCATGACCAGGTCATGACGGTCATTACACGTCATAAATAGTTTCAGTTAGGAAAAATACTTAAATGTAAATGGTTTTTATCTCCTCGCTATGCAAAATAAAAGTCATTTTTCTAAAATATAAATTACTGAATTGCCTTAATAAATTCAACAACAAAAACTATATTAATATCAAAAAAGTTTTTAACTACAAAACAAACAATACAAAAAACAAATGATCTTTGGCTATAGATTACAAGTTATAAAGTAATAAAACAAAATATTATTAGCATTGGTTAAGTTTTAAAGACACCACGTCACCAGGTGGACATAAACCTACTTCTTACCGCAATGATAATGAATATTTAATAAATATTAATTTAATATTAATCTTAATAAAATCATTTAAATATTTAAGAAACAAAAACTATCATGACGCGATTTTCTATGTGACGCGACGGTCATGACAGGTCACGACATCGGTCATGCGCTGGTCACATGACCCACTTACATCACTGTATACAGTGTGTCTCAAAAATCACGCGCATTTCGGAAACTCGCAATTTTTGGAAAAATCGCTCAGTAGGAAGGTCAATTTTGTTTTTTTTTTTTGGACATGAATTTCGGTGACATTCAATTATTTTCAATGTAACCAGAGGCGGTTTTTTGATATGGTTGGGTTTTTTCTGATTAATTTGGTGTCCTACATGTAGAGGGTTGGTCGGGGAAATTTCGGAAAAAATCGAAAAAAACGTAAATTGTTATTAATTTTTTTTCCAACGGGCTCATGAAATAAGTCCAGAAATATTATTTCAACATGATAGCGCTCCACCACATCATGCAGCCATCGTAAGAACCTATTTAAACCATCAATTTCCACATCGTTGGATTGGTAGAAGAGAGGAAATTGAGTGGCAGGCAAGATCTCCCGATTTAATCCCACTTGACTTTTTCTTGTGGGGATATTTGAAAAGCAAGATATATTGTGAAAGACCAGACAACATTGAAGACCTGAAGCAATACATTCGGCATAAGATCAGGCAAATACCACTTGAAACAATCAGGAATGTGCAGAGTTTGTTGACAGGCTGGATTATTGTCCAGCTGCAAGTTAGCAGTTGAATATTTGATTCATTAAAATCAAATAAAAAGAGCTATTTTAACCAAATGTGTTTATACCTTCGAAAAAATAAATAAGAGTTTACGTTTTTTCGATTTTTTCGAAATTTTCCGGACCATCTCCCTCTCCTACATGTTGCACACCAAATTAATCAGCAAGACCTAAACTTTAATACGGTCCAATAAAAAAAGGTGGTTGCCATTTAAAAAAGCAACCCTATCCCCCTCCCTCCGCCACTAGCTACATTTTTGAAAAGTTAATTTCACCGAAGTTCATGCCCGAAAAAAACAAAATTGACCTATTCGAGTGATGTTTTCAAAAATTGCTTTCCGAAATGCCCATAATTTTTGACACTGACACACTGTATACTGAATTATTTAAAATTGTGTTTTTGAACACAATTAGTCTTGTAATAACCGTTGAAATGATTAAATTAAGCTAATAACATTGTCGACTTCAGTTATTTACAGTTAGAAAAACACCACGGGTAGTACTATCACCGAACAAAGGATCATCAGATGTTAGGCTTTATAGTATTGTGAAGACTTTGTTTCCACCTATTGGCAAACATTTGTTAATGAATGTAAATTTTCAGGTTTTAGTTGCTGAATTATTTGTATGTGATGGGGATATAATAAATTACTTCTCCATATGTCCGCCATACTCTCCAAAGAGGAATACCCATCCATATATGTTTAATTTCTTCTAGTACTTAATTTTGCACTGCATACATGTAACTGTATAATGTTTTATTGTCCATCCAAATTTTGCTGTTCAGGATGTTGTTCAGGAAATTGTTGGATATGAACCATGTTTCCGCACATATATCAAAGAAGAAACAAAAGCTTCATGATTTGTCATTCTTCTGTTTGGAAATCATCATTGATATTTTCCTATCGAGACAAAATCCATAGACATACATGTCAGCGTACTCTTCTTTTTTAAGATTAGGTGAATAAAAAAAAGGTTTTTCAATGTTTTTTTAATGTTTTTGCTTTCATCACAACATATTACTGAGCTTCTAATGTAAGAATGGATCTGTGTACAATTGACCACTCATTACAAAATCCAAATAATCGTGACAAATTTAGTACATTACAAAATATCGTATCTTAAATAAAAAAATATTATTTTAATAAAGTAAGACATATAATGCTATTAATAGGAAACATAAATATTGTCTTTTGTAATACCTTTACCTGTAAAAGATAAGATATTGCTTGAATTTTACAATGTATTTTGTAAACGACGCTAAGAAAGTATGTTTTTGAAACGGAAACGAGATATAGCATGTAATTTTTTGCAATATTTGTATAAAAATATGATTCAATCATGGCGCAATTGTCTGTCAAATATGATCAGATCAGCGTTTTAGTTAACTAGTAGACTGTGGAGTTAATTACTCAATATATGAAATTCAGAATTTTTCTTAAGTAAGATGAATTCAAGTAGAAAGAAGTTTTTAAAAAATTGGTGACATTTGTATTAATACTGTTATTTTTATATGAATGCTTTTTTCATAATTTCAAATAATTAATTCATAACTCATTAGGACATAATTTACGATTTCACAAGCGTAATTTGCTTCAATTATAGGATATTATTAATAAAATAAGAGTTTCTTTATTTCTGTAACAAAAGAAACTTAAATACTTGATATAATTGATGTAAAATTAAAAAATTTCTAAATAATTAGTGTTAAACAGTTTAAGTTTAGAAGAAAGTAAATTTAATCTCGCTTCTTATGAATTTTAATTCATTTTTACTGCTCTCACTGAAATAAAATAATTTAAAATTTTAATCTTGCTTTTAATATGCACTTTTAGAAAAATTAGGTTCAAGTTGTAAGTATTCACTATTAAAAATGATATTCAACTAATGACGTTCTCAATGTAAATTGTTGCGTTGTTAAAGAAAAAAAAAACATAATCAGTAAATGTTTAATCTATTTTGAATAAAAATTAGAAATTAACGTATAGAACTGTCGAAAAAAAGTAAAACTGTTATACGAAAAAATCTGAATTGATTAAATGACTCCTAAGTTAAAAATGGATAGGTGTAAAAACCATTGCTCATTTTCCAGGTATTATGAAGTACTTATCGATTATTTAAAAAACGTGTAGATAAAGCTATAAATATTAATCAGTATTTTTATTTTATATATAGAAATGAATACCATATTTACTAAATAAATTTGTATGTACTATAAGGAAAAATTGTAAAAAAAACACTCAATCTAAACAAAACAAGGCAGCATTCAGTGACCAGCAACCAATAGATATTACCTAAAAGTTACTTTAGATTTTCAAAATGAACCCGAACTGTCCCTATACCTTTCTGTTGTGGAATTGTTAAATCTGATATTGGGCAAAGCATTGGTAATATAATGAGGTTACAACAACGAATAATTTGCAAATGTGCTATTTTCTAGCAGGTAATTAAAAACTAATCCAAATATTAGATGACTTGGAATATGAGCCTCAAGAATCTTCGTTGGTATTCTCTAACAGTAGCTCAACCATGTTCATTACAAAACCTCTAGAGAAAAATTATATCTGCGGATCCTGCATTTGAAGACCGACGAGGCATTTTAGATTTAGGAAAACAGAAAATACACTAACACTGGTAGTTAATAAACTCAATAAAGTTAAGAAGGTAGTAGGCGTTCTTTGAAACACGCTAATAACAAGTAGGGATAGATTACTTTTCTAAGCCTGATTAAAGCAGATTAGTAAATCGGTCCCTTGCCGTGATTTATTTTGTACCAATTATTCACATTCTAATAGTCCGATTAATTAATCGGCCTTAATCGGAACCGAAAGTTCCGGCCCTAGAAAACCTAAACTATGTACGACATAAATCGGAAAAAAGGTGATAAAAATTAAAGTAAAAGACGACGAGAAAATTTCGGTACTTTTTAATATTTTCCAGCATTTGTCTCGTTTTGTATAGTACATATTACTTTGTTGTTTTAGAAATTTTCGTTATTGTACATCTAAATTTATTTCAAGAATTCGTAAACGTATGATATTTAAAATAAACATAAAATTTTATTTATTTGTTTTGTTTTATTCTGCATAAAAAAAAAAATTTTTTAAACGAAACATTAAAAATTATTAAATTACAAAATTAGACGAAAGGACAGTATTAATGTAATTGAAGCAAGAACCATTTGCAAAGTGTTTGCTTTTAATAGTTACATTAAATGCTGAATTTTCTGTTCTAGTCAAAATTGATAATTTGTAAAAAAATCAACAAAGGTGTGACAAAAACACATTTTTAATGCCTAACTCGACTTTTAAAATTTGTAGATACATTTAAAAAAAATCTCATAGAAGGTGAATTTTTTTATTCCTATTAATGCCTACTTCTTATAAAATTTTTAGAGACCGATCCTGGAATTTATGAATGTCTGAGAATGTCAGTTGAACGCGTCACCAAAAAAATAGAGAATATGAACAAACCGTTCAAATATTGTATTAAAAAGAATTTTTTATTTAAATCTACAAAATAATCCTGTATATTAATAACGTAAAGAAGTGTGAAGTATGTTTACGATAGAAAATCCTTCAAAATTTACAAATCCAGTATTATATCTACTATTATAAAAACTAGGAATAGAGTCCAGGAAAGTCTGATAGGATCTAGTTTTTCCTTAAATGTGCCCCATAATAATGACTAAATTGTTTGAAAAATTATATTAGCATCTGGTATCTAGTAACTGACTTTTTTGGAACTATCCAAATTTCAACTGACTTTTACATGAGGCTTATCTGAAATATGTACACAAGAAAGTCATGTCATATTCAACGGATGTTGAAAGATAATTATTAAAATCATAAAAGACAATTTGGTGGATGACACTAACAATGAAATGATGAAATGAAAAAGCTCATGGGGTGGTATGCGTAAATTCGCAAAGAAAATGATATGGAAGTTAAATAAATAAATCTAAAAAACCATGAAAAATTTTTAAATATTGGTAACAACAAATAGACTGATTTTCGTGTCTTCACTGTTAAAGGTGGTTTTAATGTCGCTTCTGCGACATTCTTTGGCTCAAAAGAAGACGATTTGACCTAATTTCCATTAACAAGAAATGCCTGGCTCCTCTGCTATTGACTGTCAAAGATTTTGAAAAAAAAAATTTCCGGTTCTAATGGAAGATGTCCCTCTCGATCTTCGTGCTTAGATGTAGTTCATGCACGATGGTGCTCCTCCGCACTTTAGTGCAAATGTAACTGCACATTTAAATAATACTTTTCCACACAAGTGGATCGGAAGAAGAGGGAGATATGTTCCTGTCGAATGGCCCTCCAGGTTCCCCGACTTAACGCCGTTAGATTTTTTCTATGGGGAGCCTTGAAGAATAAAGTTTACGCTACTCCTGTGGAACCCCAGGAAGAATTATTGCGTAGGATTCAAAACGTGGCGGACGTAATACGGAATGATTCAAAAATGTTCAATTCAATGTCAATCGAAGGATCCAGCTATGCATCCAAGAAAATGGGGGCCATATCGAACATATCTTGTAATTCCACCATCATCTATCGTATCTATGTAACTATCAGTTTCAATAAAGATAATAATGTATTTCCTAAGTACCTACGTCTTTACATTTTTTGAGTGTTAACAAAAAATAAATCTAATGAAGGAAAATGATATTCCATTCCAACTTTAAAATTGTGACCATTTTACCATCAATATTGATATCTTAGGTAAAAGAATTGGCAATTATTATTAGAGAAAGCTGCTTCTTGTAGAAGGGCAGATTTACTGCACTGCGATACATCTAAAATTGTTGTCGCAACGAAACAGAAAACATTTTTTTTGCGTAAAAACTATGAATGCTACAAAATTTTACCAAGATACTTACTACGATTGTAGTGATTGTAGTGAGTATTTGTTCTACTTCAGTAGTAGTGATAATGATTGTCTAAAATTGAAAATAAATTTTTGCTTAAAAACTATGAAAGCTACAAGATTTTACCAAGAGCACGAAAATCTCGAAAAAGGACTAATGCATCAATAAAAATAAAATGAATTGATTCCAGATACCAAATAAAATGTTCTGGTAATTCTTGTACCATGACACTCAAGAATTTACAATTAGCCTAAGGCGGATGGACGCAGTTGCTTCATCAAAACATGAGTCTTACTTAGGAACAAGTCCACAGCAAGTTTCATTAAAATCCATCTTAACATTCTCCAGATATTACAAAAAACATTTTTTTTTTTCAACTGTGACAGTCAATAGCAGTACCTTTTTGATCATGTGCTTATGGGACACCCTGTATATGTTTAATTTTGTGTGATACCTATTTCAGATTTACCTTTATGAATTTGTAGACTTCGCATAAAACTACTTTAAAATTTTACATAAAGATATCCATTGGCATGAAAATAATTTTCACTTTTGCACTCACTGTAAAAACACTTTCTATATCCAAGAAATTCCGCAAACACTTTTTATAACCGCGTACGTACTGCACATGACAAATATGATTACGCACAACCATACCTAACGCGCCGTAGTTGACAAAGCATCACTTACCGATTTTCCTCGACGAAAAATCAAGTTGAAAACGCCACCTCCGGTCTTGGTGTGCATCTGCTTCCTCTCTTCTTCCTTCCTCAGGGCCATAATGTCGCTCGTGGAAAACGCCTGGTTCAAACTAGAGGCTCCCCTCGACACCACGTAGATCTCCGTGATCTGATAGTCGCTGAGAGTGAGCTTGGGGTCCAACACCTCATCTAGGTTACCTGCAAATGGAGTAAGACAGCTTCAATTACACTTATCGCGAAAAGAAACGAAACTAGAAATTTTCAAGACAATTTAACCACCTAACGCGAGTGTGAGCGGCTGTATATATTTAATATTTTTCGCATCGATAAACAAATGAAAGGCTATAATAATGTTTACTTAATGAAGCACGATTGTGAATTAGTTAGGTACCTCTCTTTTCCACGCGCTAACTGCCAGTGAGAACGTGCAGAAAACAATTATTTTACACGCTCTCTTGTGAGTCGCACGTAGTGTTCTTCGCGGCAATGCCACATAATTTAGAGTTGTGTAACCGATCATAAAGTATTCTAATTATAATAAATTAGTACACAGAATATTTATCTTCGAGATAAGGTGATAAAAACAAAGCAGGTTTCAAAAACAAAATCACTACCTACGTGAGAAGATCGCTTTAAACAGATTTCTATCTAATTCTATCTATTATATCTACATTTTCATCATCGTTTTTCACATAATAAATATTAAATCAGTTTCGTGCTGGATAAATATATTTTTTCAATCTAAAATTTTGGATATTGTTATTATACTGGCACCTCAATCAAAATATAATACAATAAAATAAAATTGAAAGGAAGATAAAAAACATAAAACCCAAAACTAACTGATACTTTACCTTTATGACAAGATGACTTATAAAAATAATAGTCATACTATACGAGTATAATACTTCCCAGGGTTAAATTGTAATGAAAGTAACGTTTGAATGTTTTTAAAAACAGAGTCAATAACGTTGTAAACAATGGTAACAATAGAAAAAAGTATACTTAAATGCTCTCTAGTTACTTACATGGAACGTGACATCAGAAGCAGATAAAAAAGTAGATTAGATTAAAAATTTTACTATTATATATAATAATTGCATCATTGTAACTACTACATCCTGAACAAATTCTACGGCAGGCCATTCTTTTTAAATTTCAGTAAGTATCAAGGAAGTAGTTTTAAAATTACTGCTAGTAAATTGCTAGCTACTTTTACTTACAATTGATGTTTAGTTTTTATAAAAATTGCCTAAATTAAGATAAAATATTGTATCATGTTTATAAAAATTTGTGTCATACTCATTTAATAATTATATTTCTACACAGTATGCGCCTAAAGTATGGAATAAATTCAGTAAAATCGAAACAAATTTTTTTTGGGAAAAATCCTCGAGCAGGTCGATTTTTAATTTAAAAAATATATATTTTAGCATAAAAGGCGATTTTCAACCGTCATTTGTTTTCGAGTAATGACGTCATCGACATTTTTTTTAAATAGCAACCCCCTATTTTTTTCTTGATTCTGAAAGATCGTTTCATTGTCAATTCGACAGTATTAAAATGTTGCCATCTTACATAGGAAAGTTTTCGAGTAAATGACGATTGAATGTTAGAAAACGTAAATTTTATGCATTAAAAAAATAACAATTCCTAACAAATTAATAACAAATTAAGTGTGCGAATTACCACCCACCGACTTCTTGACAATACGCAAGTCTGTGTAGAAATTCTTCTTGCACATTATGAATTATTTCTGGGGTAACTCTGTGTATTTCATCTATAATACAATTCTGGAGTTCTTCTAAATTATGTGCGCCATATGGTGTCATCAGGAATATCAGGGTCATTATCGTTAGGAAAAATTACTGCAAGCGTTGGCACAGGGTTATTTTGTAAAAACTCTAAATATCTTTCTCCTGTAAGGGTTCCTTCAAAGAAGAAAGGCCCTACTATTGTGTTGTCTACTATTCCAGCCCACACATTTAATTTCTGTGTGTGTTGGGTATGTGTCTATGCCATCCAATGAGGATTTTTCCGACTCCAATACCTGCAAGTTTGACGGTTCACTGTACCATTGAGACAAAACGTGGCCTCGTCTGAAAAAAGCATTTGCCGGTGTAAATTTCTATTTACTTGACATAAATCCATCATAATTTCACAAAAATGCAAGCGGCGGTCGGGATCGTCTTCATTGAGTTCCTGCACAAGTTGAATTTTGTAGAGATGATATTTTTCCTTCCTCAGGATACGTAGCAGGTCTGGCTAAATTCATTGTTTAATGCAACCAATCGTGAAGTATTATGAGGATTATCTACCATACTTATCAAAATGTTCTGTTTGTGATCTTCACTAACGCTTGGACGTCCAGGTTTTGGAATATCTACAACATTGCCAGTTTCTCTTTTAGATTCTATCTTACTGACTGTGGATTGGCTGATACGGCGATATGGATGTTTTTCATTAAATAAATCACAAACTTCCTGCTGCGTTCTAGTCTTATCCCCGCATCCGATAAGAATTAAAATTTCAATTCTTTATGTGACAGTTAAATGTGCCATAATACTTCAATAAATTCAACAATAATTTTTATATTGCTTACAATACTTAGAATTAAATGTCGGTATGACAGTGACACTTTGTAAAGATTTAACCTTACGTGATCCATAAAAAACTTCAGGCATTTCGAAAAACTAAATTTGATAACGTTTTTGCTTTATTTTAATTGATTTGGGTTTTCTAACATTCAATCGTCATTTACTCGAAAACTTTCCTATGTAAGATGGCAACATTTTAATACTGTCGTATCGACAATGAAACGATCTTTCAGAATCAAGAAAAAAAATAGAGGGTTTAAAAAAATGTCGATCGTCATTATTGCTAAAATATGTATTTGTTAATTGAAATCGACCTGTTCGAGGATTTTTCCCAAATAAAATTTATTTCGTTTTTACTGAATTTATTCCATACTTTAGGCGCGTACTGTATAGTATATCTTTGAATTGATATATATTTTGGCCTCCTTCTGACATAAAACTTTCAGCATTTGAGATGGTGAGTAATATCAATTCCTCAAAATAGATATTAATCTGTTTCGCAGATTTTTTAACAGAGTTTTTCACATAACATATTGCCCCCCCCCACATTTTTACTTTACTATTTAGAAAAAAATGGTGGTTTTGGTAAATTTGACGCTGATATTGCACAATCGATAATCAAGAAAAAATCTAAAACAATGCCAGTGAGAATATTTTAATAAGATAGCAATAGTTGTCTGAATAAAACAAGTATTTTTTTTAGTATTAAGGAATAAACCCGTATTTTCGAGTGTTGTGTTTTCTATAAAAAGAAAATATTAATAAAGTGTTTTGTAATAACACTATTCTACGTAAAAGACATTTTTTTAAATTCTCTTATAAAGGGACAATTTTTGTGGTCCGCAAGAAATCCTGATTCGACCCTCATGTAGTTGTTTCTACAGGGGATATTGGAAGATAAAGTAAACAAACAGCGATCTAATAAGTTTATATGAACTAAGGCTTAAATATTGAATGCATTGTATCAATAAGGTGGGTAACAGAATATTATTCTTTTTGTCTAGAACAGAATGATGGAACATTTATGAAATATTTTTCTAAGAATTTAAAGGAATGGTAATCTTTATCTATTGTGGAGGATCAGTAAATAGACCAAAATAATGTGCAAACCGTCGCCGTCGGAGCAAATACATATCTATTTTGTTGTAAAAAAAAACAGAGGATTTCAAGAAAACGAGAGACAAACAGGTCATTCTAATTAAAAAAAAAATATGTTTGATTTGTATATAAATAACACAATATTCAATTGTTTTTTGACGTACTTGTTAGATGTCACAAAAAAATTTACTATTTTGGTCTCTATTTTTTCTAAATAGAAATTTAAAAAGTATAAGTATATTTTGTGTTCATTTGCACGTCTGCTGTTAGGATGTAGAAAAAGTTGTTAAATACAATAAAGACTGTATGAATTTTCTTTCTGACAATAAAATCATATCAAACAAATGGACACACAAATATGTCAAAATAAACAGATTTTTAACTGATAAACACCTTCATACACTTTGTTAAATCTTATGTCTTAACTAAACATGTTATTGCTTTTTTTAAAAAGAGCTTTCTCCATATTTTACACCTTTGATAGAAAATTTTCTCAGGGTTACAGTGACAAAGGTAGAAGAAAAAACAATAATATATATATATAGTATAAAAAATAAATTTAGCAAACATTATTTGTTTGCATCGATACAAAATTTATTTATAGCAGTTACCTGTATAGTCCAACCAAATTACACTTAGAGAAAAAAAATTTGTTACCTGGACTTTTATAAGTGGAAATGGTAAAGGGGCTTATAATAAACGTAAAAAAAATAAATGCGTGAGCAGGGGCGNCGGTCTAGTACTGTTCCAAAATTGAAGAAAAACTTCATGATTTGTTATACTAACCCGGATGCCTGAATTCGTACTTCTCAGGGTCCAAATTCTTCTCCTCGCAAACCTTCTTCATGATGTTCTCGAGCAATACGTTCCTGCTGACCCTAGTAACATAAAGCTGATTCCTGGGAAGATGAACTTTTAGCCTGAAGGTACTTTCGAAGGGTTGATGTCCTGGGGGGACGTTTTTGGGCACCGGAAGTGACCTTGCCTTTGGAATAACTTTGATGTGCTGGGTATCCAGGGTGCCTATCGGCGTATTTGGCTTGTAAGGGAGGATTTTATCGCTGTGCTCTGAGGAGGGGGCCATGCCTAAGGCTTGGAGGGTGTAGTTTGACAGCTGGAGGTGATGGTTCGTTGTTATTTGTACAAGAAGGTCCATCATCGGTGTACTGAAATGGTTACTTCGTATTATACAGAGTAAAATATACAGGAAATTGGCTAAAAGTTGTCAAGTCTGTGAATTTGATTAATTCTTTTGGAGAAAAACGACAAAATAATGTTTAATCCCAATGAAATAAATTTGTTTGCCGAAATTTTTTTTCAAATTTGGGAAATAATTCATTATATAACAAAACACTTTTGTAGAAATAGATCCGTAAATTACTATTTCTTCGGCAAAGAGAGCGTTTCAATGTGGACATCTATTACTTGATAAATACTCTACACCTTTTCCTATTTTCATGAAACGAACATAATTTAATATGATAAAAATTTTAAATAGATATGATTTCATTAATATGAATTCCATCAACACTTTTCTCTTGAGATTGAACATAAAATATGCAAATACCTTTAGGTGAAAGTTAAGAATTTCCGCTGTTCGTATATTTCATGAAATAATAGCATTTTTTTCGGAGAATTTTGAATAAATCATGGATGAATCAACGCTAACCTCATGTACGTAAATACCTCATTATACATCAATTGGGGACGCGACCTACAACATCCATTAAAGAAAAGCTGGGTGCTTGATTTGACTGTTAGATCACGAAAACATATTTTTGTTGTGAATGTTATTCAGCCTTAACAGTACCTAACAAATTGAGTAGATTTTGTGTTGCAGGTATATGTACAGTAGGGTGGCAAAAAAAAACGAATATTTTTTTTCGTGTCTCTTGTGAAATTATGTTAGTTTATTATGTTTTAAGGGCCCCCTCAAAAAATCAGCTCAAAAAAATATTTTTAGAGGTCGCTTAAGATTAAAATTTCCAAAATCGTCAAAAATTGAATTTTTATTTATTTTTTTTCTGGTTATTTTATCATTTTCTAGGTTGAAAAAAATCTCGATTCTGAAAATCGATATTTTAATTTCTAAAGGTCACTCATAATTATTTTAACTTTCAAAGTAGTGTACCTAAAATGTTTTCGAGCAAATTTTTTGAATTTGATGAACAAAAGAATAGAAATAAATCACGAGACACTTAAAAAATTTCCCGAGGTAAAATTTACTACCGCACTGTGAGTAAAATATGTATATTTTAATTTTTTAAAATTTAAGTGTCTCATGATTTATTTCTATTCTTTTGTTCATCAAATTCAATAAAAAAAATAGTTAGTTCGTTGATATTTATTTTTAGGTCGCTCGAAAACATTTTAGGTACACCACTTTTTTCGATCGAGATTTTTTTCAACCTAGAAAATGATAAAATAACGAGAAAAAAAATTAAAAAAGAATTTTTTTTTGAGTTGATTTTTTGAGGGGGCTCGTAAAACATGATAAACTAACATATTTTCACAAGAGATACAAAATTAAAATATACGTTTTTTTTGGGCTACCCTAATGTACAGGGTGACTGTTTTATCAGGGAAGGTACGTTTGTCATGTAAAAAAAGTCTCACTCAACTCAAATAAAGTACTTTTGGCTACCCTCAATTTGCTTCGACCGACAAACGCATTTGCCATGATAAAATACCCATCAGGGTCATTTACATAATTCCTCCTCCTATCATTTGTATCTACAAAAAAATGGGAGGGTTCAAAGTTTATGTTCAAAATTTCAGGGGATTTCAAGAAATTATTTAAAAAATGTTTGGTTTATATATTCTAAATGCAACAGTCAATTGTTTTTTATATATATTTCTTTGAAATCTTTGAAAATTTTCCTAAAACTTTTATCTTTACCATTTTTACCTAAATAGAAGGTGAAAAAATATAAGGGGGAATATAATATTGTGTAAATAACCCCATATATAAGAATACAAATTTACAAATTATTCTATTTGAACCCAACTCACATTTGCACATTTCGTGATACGTTCGAATTTCTATGTTGCAAAATTGCTCAAAGTTTATACACCATTTCCTAGCTCTTTTTTCATATTAGCAAAGAGCCTCGCGTTCTATCTACATTATTATTACTATCATTAAGTTTAGCTACTACCTAATATAGAATCAGGTTTTATTACTCAATTATAATTTTGTATTCGTCATTCAGCATTAAATTGAATTGCTGCTTAATATTTCAAATCAATAAAGTCCTATCGTATATGCCAAAGGATATGGCTTCATAATGGTCGTTATCTGTTATAAACATTATGTGCTAGCCATACATATAACTGTTTTCACACAACGAGTTAAAGAGAATAGTGATAGAAGTAGAGTTAGAAGGCCCAAAGCGTATAGAATGACTTGTTTAAAATGACAAAAACATATTTAGGTAAATAAGAAAACAGTAACGCTACTTATTGAAATAACTTAAATTTTTAGTTGATATGCAGATTTAATATCTAATACAGGTAGAAAATGTTTTATATACAGGGTGTTAATTAAGTATCTACAATAAATTCAACAGACGATTATTTGTGTGATTTTAAGACAAAAAGTTCATATAAACATTGGTCCGCAGATGCTTCGTTGTATCGCCTATATCTTGAAAACGAAGCATCTGCGGACCAATGCTTATACGAACTTTTTGTCTTAAAATCACTCAAATAATAATCGTCTGTTGAATTTATTGTACATACCTACTTAATTAACACCCTATATTTTCAATCAACAAATTATTCATAGATGGATTCTGGGCAATCTATACGTAGCTAACAAAGCAAATTTTTTCAAATATTATTGTTAAATGCCAAATACAATAATCAATGGGCTATTGTGTTCCTAGATCACATAACTGCTCGTAATTGGTTATGATTGACGGGTCACATAGGAGTGGTGAGTTTACTGCTTATGTTATTTTTTTAATTCTTTAAAAAAAGAACATGTGATGAAAGAAGTTCCAATAGTTCTGAACGAAAATTCTACTAGCTTTCTTTAGTAGTACTAGTAGTACCGATGAGATAACATGTTTGAATGGAGTACTGTATAGAGAAAGATGTGGTATCTTAACTAGACTCTTAGAACTAGGTGTTGGGTTTTTTTTTCTTAGTTCCCGAATGTTTAAATTTGTCGTTTTTGCTGAAAATCAATGTAATAAGTAATTTTTCACTTTTTATTCATTTTTAGCAATAATCCGTATTTTCTTCATCAAAAACCGTCAATTATTCTAAATTAAATGAAAAAAAAAAAAAAACTTTTTTCGAAAATTATTTTTTTCAAATTTTTTTTAAACATATCCTCAAGCTTCACGAAAGTCAAAAAAAATTTGGTGGATTTGACGTTGTAGATGACACTTTAATATCGGGTCTGTTCCGAATCACCGATTCTAAGTGGTCTCGCATATTAATGCACCGCCGGATGTCTCATTGCGTAATTTCTTGCCAAGTTTGTAAAAGAGCCTGCCTCAATTGATGTGATTTTGTAATTGCGGATAATCTCGTCGTCATCGACGCCCGAGCATGTCCTAAACAAGCCCAATGGGGTTCAAGTCGGGACTCATGGGTGGGTGGTTGAGAGTTACCACATTGTTGGCGTGAAGAAACTTTCTCGTACGTTTTGCGGTATGAAGATGAATATTATCCTGCATGAGAATGAAACGATTCCTCATGCTTGTACGCATGGGCAGGACGTGTGGTTCAAGGATTTCGGTGATGTACCTTTCAGTTAAACACGTTGCACTCAAATGACAATATCACGAACACTAAATGCGATATCAACAATCTAATGTGGTTACAGAGTAGGTTATGCGCAACGAAATGCTGCCAACCACATATCACTAAATATCTTCATTAGCGAGTATTTCAAAAGGTTCGGTTATTTTCCGACCAGATTTCGTATTTTGATCACCAGAACAATTAGTTGCTAACTGTTACTAAAGTGGACTCATAAGCAAATATTTTTGAGTATTAATAGTAAAATTACTGATAAAATATGAAGAATATGAATTGAAGACATTGCAGCAAAAACCAGGTAGCTGCACTTTTTGGCCAAATGGAGTTATATGCACGAATCGGTAGATACGATATTCGATATTTTTTGTAGATACCTCCCCTATTTACTACGAAACATTTGGTGCAATAACAAGGCAACTGTGCAGATAACCACAAGCTGATCATTTAGTCTTTTACCAAAACCTGAAGGCAGCTGCTACTCCAGATGAAGGTGAGACTGATGTTACAGACGACGAAGATAACGAGTAAAGAAAAAACCGTTTATTAACATGTATTTATATTATTTCCTAAAATAAAGTTTGGTTTTCTTTAAACAAAATGTTTGCTAGTTTCATTTGGTGTAAAAATGAGGTAGCTTCCAGAATATTTAAAATATATAACAGAGACAGTCACGTTATATGTAGTTATATTCAGTGGACATCAAAATTTGCTTTTAGTTTAAGTAAACTTCCATGTATATTACTATCATTAATAAAAAAATTCATGGTTTTGGTGGCAAGAACGAGATAGCTACAAATTTTTTTAATTTTCCAGAAAACAGCAGGTCTTTAAAATATCTGTGTACGTCAACCCAACATAAAAATCAAAGAAAAAAAATCAGTTTGAATTTTAACATGTTTTTGTCCCTCCTGAAAAATTTCTAATAGTACAGCTACCGCGTTTTTGCTGCAATATTTTCAATTATTTTTTTTTAAGTGAAAGAAATTCCATGACAATCAAAATTTTTACAAGTACCATCATATCAGATTTGAAACATATTTTTAATATAACCACTTCTGATCAAATATGACTTATACACACATCGTAGAATTTACACTCTGATTGCTAGTTGAAAAGCATAAATTGGTATGTACAACACATATTTTCACCAGTCTGATAATACGGATATTGCTATGGAGTAATTTCCACAACATCCTTAATAATTCGAGGAACTTAAAGTGATATTCCACTTTCTAAAAATAAACAATATAATTAACATGGTATTCCTTTATGATATTAAAAGAAAGTGTGCGATCATTTATGCCAATAAGTTATATATCCCCGCGCATTTATTTTAATGGAAACCTGTTCAACATTAAATTATTGAAACGGTACATTGCGCCAAGTGATATCA